ATATTTGCAGACGATAATAAAATATGGAGAGCAATTCGCTCAGCATCCGATCGTGTCTATCTCCAGAAAGATCTGACCCGGATTAATGAATAGGCAGAAAGGAACCAGCTCCCACTGAACCCTGCAAAGTGCCACCTGCTGACAGTGCGCAGCAGCTTCGTCAACAAATAATTTTTGGGGCAACACGTCCTGCAACGCGTGACTAGTGGACGCGATTTAGGTATAATCGTGCAAGAGAGTCTTGGAAATTCGCTCCAATGTTTGAAAGCAACAAGTGTGGCGATCTTGAACTTGAGACTTTTGAGGCGAGCTCTCGGCACTTTTGAGCGGCAGCTAGTACCATTGTTGATTAACTCTTACATTCGTCCTCATGTTGAATATGCAATTCAGGCCTGGTGTCCATGGTTAAAACGATACCTCCGCCTATTGGAACAGCCCCAAAGAAGAGCCACAAAGGCGACGCGTGGACTATCCGATATAAGTTATGGACTGAGTCTTCGTGTATTTGGTGTGTTCTCATTAGAATACCGACGGCTTCGCGGAGATCTTACTCTCACATACCGGATACTAACTGAAAGCGAGCATCCATGTACATCACTGTTGACTCTAGCCCCTTACAAACAAAACAGAGGCAGCCACCTGAAACTAATGACGCAACACTCCCGTCTGAATTGTAGAAAGTATTCTTACTTACCAAACGTCTGTTCTCACTGGATGCATTACCAAAATATGTGATGAACGTACCAGACATGACGACATTCGAAAGACTCTTAGACTTTCATCTTAGTGATAAACGATATACAACACTTTGATAAAGTGCAATGATTAAACCACTGATACTTCACGTTCCACATTGAAACAGTTTGATTTTAATTTTCTTTTGCATATCCATCCTGTGGGTCTTGTAAGGCTATGCTTTTATCCCATCATACACCAATGAACCATTGAACCATTGCACGTGATAGCTGGACTGAAGCTGTTGATGATGGAGTAGGAGTCGATGTCATCTACCTGGACATTTCAAAAGCATTTGATCGCTTAGACCATCGAATTCCCCTTCAGAAGCTTCGTAACTACGGCATTGGTGACCCAATCCTGAGTTGGATTAGAAATTTTCAACAAGAACGACGGCTAATGGTGAGAGTCCAAGAATCATTGTCAGATGTAATCCATGTGGCTTGTGGAGTACCACAAGGCTCGGTTTTTGGACCTCGTCTATTCTTGGTGTTCATTAACGATATAGCGAGAGCAATTACTTCCGATTTCCTATTTTTCGCTGATGATATCAAGATATGGCGAAGGATCAGAGGACCGGAAGACCATGAACGGCTCCAGTGCGAGCTTAACACAGTGTCGAACTGGGCAGTTCAAAACGCCCTACCATTCAACGTAGACAGATGTCGCGTTGTACAATTACGCCATAGATTTTTACTTGGGACAAACGGATTGCAGACCAGCTCCCGGGAAAGTGAGCTTGGTGTGTTCGTACAGAGCGACCTGAACTGTCCAAAACAGGCTGAGACAGCTGCGAAAGTGGCAACCAACAGGTTGGCATGCTGCGAAGGGCATTCGGGAGATTTGACCCATCGATATTCCCAATGATGCACAATTCCTACGTGAGCCCGCATGTTGAATACGCTATCCAAGCTTGGCCACCTTGGTTGAAGCGCGACCTAGAAGCGATAGAAGCACCACAACGGAGAACAACAAAGAATTTAAAGGGCCTGCGCTATCGCTCTTACCACTGAAGGCTGAAGTTGCTGGGAATTTTCAGCGGACGCTATCGAAGGCTGCGCGGCGATCTCATATTAGCGTATCAGATGCTGACTGACCCCAACCACGTATGCCGCCATTTGCTGAAACTTAGCCACAACACGCAACTCCGAGGTAACTGCTTAAATTTGAAGGAACAATATCGTCGTCTAGAGTGTCGACGGAATTACTTTTCCCTTCGGGTTTGCCAGCCCTGGAACGCACTCCCAGACTCAGTGGTATCCTCTTCTATCTTGGATGTTTTCAAAAAACGACTAGATTTTGCTCTTAGCTCCCAAAATTTCGTTACCTAAGCTCCTCTATTGTGAATTACGTCAAGCATGTTTTCAACAGGATTTATTTATCAAATGGGCCTAAGTGAGCGACCATATTTTACTTTTCTCACTCCTTACCTCAACGATCACTGCACCCCAGTGTCTTTATGGACGTTCATGCTCGATGTTTTTTAAATTTTACACTGATGTAATTTGTCTAAGTATTCATCTAGGCAGACGTTCGGTAGATGACTCAGATATAATTTGATTTCATCATATTCACCCAACCATCCTAGGAGACCTGTCAACCACTTGCTTTTATCCCGTGATAAATCATTGTTCATTGTTCATTGTTATAAACCAATCCATCACGCTATAGTCCTCCTTGCTCCACACTGTATTCATACCCCTCATGTCTCCAAAGATTCCGTCGAGCACTTAATCAGCAAAAAACCAAAAAGTTAGCTGCAAAATACAGAAGAATCCATGACTTTTCACTTGCCTTACAGTTGCGTGAATTTAGCAACAGACAAACACGCGCAATTATCATGATGAAAAATGAAGAACATATAGCCCTACGAACAAGCTGCAAAGCTAGGGAGCTTGTCAAAATACTGCATCGTAGAACTAGTGACTGCTCTCCTCTGATTACCGAAAATGTTGATGGTGAGGGTCACTTACTCCATGACCCAACTGAAGTCGGTGAAGCATACAGTGACCTTTTGCCACTACCATGAGTCGCTAAGCTGATCCGGTGCCTATGTGTACAGAGCTCACAGAAAAAACCTCTTAAGCAGAGTCAATATCTCGCTCAACGCTATCCATCAAGTGATCAAATCAATCAGGCCATCTTCCAAGCTGGGATCTGATGGCATTTCACCAACCACCATTAAACTAGGAGGACCGGATATACCATTGCTACTGATGAGCATTTTCACTCTATCGCTGGAATCTGGCCACTTTCCAGACCAATGGAAACGTCATTTATTATGCCTCGGCATAAAGGTTCCAAACGAACGATTGATAACTCCGACCAATCCATCACACCGCGATAATCACTCGACTATTTGAAAACCGGATCAGAATGGAGGTGATGAACTTTGTTGATTCGATTGGCCTGATAAAAAATTCGTAGCATGTTTTTCTCAATAAGCGATCGTGCACCATCTGTCAACTGCATTACCTTAATCACATTTCAGAATCAATCGATTCCGGTTATGCAGGAACACTCCAGTTTCTGGACATATACCAAGCATTCGACCGCGTACCGCACAAGTCACTGTTACAAAATGCTGGAGCATTTTGAGAGAAAAAATCCCTTGATGAGCTATTTCAAGAGGGGCCCAAAAACATAAAAACACCAATGTTTTCATAACTAGGCTTTGGCTTCAACCATTCGCCAGAATGTTAATACGTGAAACACATATCCCAATACTCCACCTATGCATCTCACCCATGCAAGAGCATGAATTCTTCTGTACAAATTGATCAGTGCCGCTACAGACACAGTTTCTCTCATCAAGAGAAATAAAAGTATTATCATTATTATCATTATCATATAGCGAGTGATTAGTAACAATGAACATCACGATCTACTTCAACATGACCTAGATTGCATTTATAAATGGTCAAAGAGGAACCTGCTTCAATTGAACATAGCTAAGCGCAAGGTGATACATCTGCGTCACCAACCGGTGCGCGCTTACAAGCTTAGACCACACCTTGCAATAGATCGCTCAGGAGCGTGACCTGGGTGTATCGGTCGAGGAAGATCGCGGGTGTTCAAAACAAGCAGAGACGGCGATGTGAACCGGCAATAAACACTTCAGTCTTCTTCGCAGAGCCTTCGGTCGGGTCGAACAGTCAATGTTTCCCCAAATGATTAACGCCTGCGTGCGACCGCACGTGCAATATACTATGCAGGCGTGACAGCCGTGGCAAAAAGAGAATCTTGTTGCTCTCGAGATTCCTCAACGAAGGGCAACCAAGAACGTCGGGGGCTTCTTTCACCCACCTTATAAGCTTAGACTGGAATCTCTAAGAATGTACATCAGTCCATATCGGCTTTTGCGGGGGGATCTCATAATGGTTTGCCAGATTCTGAAGAACCCAAACCACATTTGCCGTCCGCCGCTGGAATTGAACCACAACACTTAGCTAAGATGTCATCCTCTGAAACTGACAATGCAGTATAGCCCGCTTGAATGCCGTAGAAATTTCTTTCCCTTCGAGTGTGTCAGCCTTGGAACGCCCTCCTTAATTATGTCGTCTCTGCTCCCAATCTGGCGATATTTAAACATCGAGTTGACGATGCGTTGTCTCATTTGCATTTCATTTTATGAGTTGTTAGCCATGGGCAACAAAACGCAATCAAACGGTGTCTTATCAAACTCCCAAAAAAATGGATTTATGGATTTATACTTTCAATACGCAAACATCTCCGCTATTCTACATAAGTCCATGGTGAGTCAATCAAATCTCTTTTCACTTTATCATGCAATTCACTTTTCGCAATCATTACATCCCACGCGACTTGTTAAGCGATGCTTTTTTACCCGTAATACATCATTGTTCCCTTGTTCCATCGTTTGATTTAGGTTGATGGCTCCAATGGCCATATTTCCTGGTTACGTTTCTTCCCATTTCATGAGGCCGCAGCCTCCATGATATCCTTGATCTGCATCAGAAGCAAAAATTGTGAGTGCTAGTGTTCTGATCGGAAAGGACAGTGAAAACCCCGATTACTCTTCCCAAGCTTGCCTACTGCATCCCTGTATAACCCACAACCGTTGACAACCATGCATGCCTGAGTATGCTGTACGTATAAATACGACCCATCCCTTTGTGGGTACGGTTTCTCGGTCGCAAGAGAACTATACATCCTTATTATTATTATTATTATTGTTCCTGCTATTATTATTATGAATCAGCATGCACAAACCTTCGAATAAAGGTCAGTTGCATCGAACTCACTTTAATAGGCCTCCCAACCCTCACAGCTTCTATCGTCATGGTTGGAGCCCGGCCTTCCGGTTTAGCAGTGATCGAATGGTTGCGCAGTTGTGGACCAACAATCTTGTCGATGCTATCCGTAAGGACGTCATCCTCTTCGTCCACACCGTCTTCCATGACACAGGAGTGATGTGTGTGAGAATTTACCGTTGGATCCTGCCTATCTCCATTTTCGTACCACTTAGTATGACCGTCAGCTCAATGTTAGTTATGACAATGTGGCGCAGTGCAATGCACCAGTAGTAGCAATTATAGTTTCGTGTAAACGGTACAATTAAGTATGGATGAGAAATGTAGGACGAGATTTGTAGCTTGTATGATGCCGCGTATCCACCGCTCGTGTGCCCGCTTGGGTCAGGAGGAAAGGGAAAGATGCATTGGCTTCCAGTCTGCCAATCGACAGCCAGCACGCCATTGACCCATTTTCACTTTCCCCGGTTCACACATATCTGGAAACACTGATACCCTATCAGTCAATGGTTACATGTAGGCGATCTAATTCCGTCTTGCAGACGATCGATAGATCAAACAGATGACCGAGACCTAGGACATTCTTCAGCGTTCACATGTTAACAACATCATTTCTGTAACGAATATTGTAGACTATGTAAACACTGAGAAAATATCCTCTCTTTCGGTCTGAATTTAACCAAGTGAACAGATTTTGCTGCGAAGCGCATCCGCCAAAGTAGGATTGAGTGTGAATTCTCAAGTGACTTCCGGATAATTATAAGGTTAATATTGTCTCCAAGCTGTGATGTGTATTTACGAGTTCCTGAACTAGTGGTTCAGAAAAATGGGCACTGTTTAGATATTAAACGGTTTCATAGCTGTAAGCTAATTGGTCATCTGTCTGTCCTAATGACTGATTTCACATTCGCTAGACTTGAGAGCATGGTGAACAGCTTCGCTTGACCGATCCGGCGGTTCGCTGGTGTCTGTCGAGTGATCCGCCTGGGGACACGTAACCGTCGTATTCGGACACTGGGTTTAGCTGCAAAGAAGTGTCAAAACAAAATGCCTCCATTATAAAGGAAGAACTTAGAAACCTCATACATTTAAGGCCTATGTTATTAGTTGTGAATTGCAATTTCCCCAACTTTATCTACGCGCATTCCAACAATGGAAGTTCCCGCGCCTGAGGGTCTATGACAGAGCACATCTATGGCTATGGGTTACCGCATTGTGTTGACCAATGGATTGGTTGATAGTAAGGTGGACCAAATATCCAGTATTGACATGAGATTCTTCTAAAACTACAGAAAAAGACTAAAGTGGTAGCTATCTGTGTAAGCTGCAGTGTGAGATATCGTCTGTGTGGTTGTGGGGATTAGGTCTTGGGAGCAGCTGAATATGTCGACGCTGGGAACATAGCTCATGTACAAATCGTTGCGACTATGGACGCAGAAGCCAGAAGCAGTACATTCACGTGCCTTGTGCCTGGCTTTGGGCTATTCCCGCCTTGGGGTCAGTTCCAAATTCCTTTTCCGGAAAAGCGCCTGTCAAATTCGAGATTACAACTCAGCCTTATCGAAAACAGTTACAAAGCGTCCGACGGTGTTAGTAATCCCTTTGGCTGTACTCTGGTAGTGCAGCTTAGGCAGCCGTGAACGAAAGTGGATGAGAATTGCAGGTGGGCTTTATTTACTCACTAATGTTGCGATGCACACAACGGCTATGCCCTTTTGTGATAGTACTTTATCAGCGAGCAACGAACAAGGTCTGTAATGCCACGCACTAGTCTCGTGTGTCAAGTAGCAAGTGCTGCCATTTATTATTCTTTCCGGCGGTGGCAAACTGAGCAGAGGTGCTGGAAGCTGGAAATTCATTGGGAATTGCGATAATAATCCTGAGGAGCACTTACATTTCGATCCCACTGTCGAGCTGTATAGTCTATGGGACATTATACTTCATGGTAGAGATAAACATACCTTGAAACGAAAGTATATCCAAGTTCACCGGGAATAGTTATATACTCACGCATGGGAACCGTCATGTTGAATAAGAATACACTACCTAAGAAGATGCATTGTTTGAATCGACGCACAACTACAGGGTTAGTTGAGTCAACGGATGGACAACCTCCAACGACCACTGAGCCCCCAATGTCTTCAATTCAATTCGCTTAACATTGTGCACGAATCTATTCCCTATCGAGCACCCGTGTCACGACAAGTTGTGAGAACCACTTAGTAACTTAGTGCATGTTGGACGTTTGGATTACCGTAGGTCACCGCAGGTCGTACCACGAGTTACTCTAATGGGAACACGGGCGATTCCGAGCACTGGAACTGCATTCGCACTGATGTCTTCAGAGTGGCTAGCTATTCACAGTTCATTGGTCCACCAGTCCCGCCATTGTTAGAGGCATCCAAAACAGAGTAATGGTCATGTTTTTCATCAGATGCTGTATATTTAGACCGCAGAGCTCCCTGAACAACTCTGATCACGACGGCTAGGAATCCGGGTTTTGCTTTTCGAGAGCCGACGCATATGTTGATTGTGACAAGAAGTCACAAGCTGCATTACGTTAAGTCATGTCGTACAACGGGTAAGCAACCGAGTTTGAGGCAACTTCAGTGCTCCTCGTTCTCTAATCTGAGCTTCATAACTGGTTTCCTCCTCGTCCGGACTTACGCAGAAATATTACTGGGGGAAGAGCCCGGTGTATAGAGATTGGTGACTGGCGCCTGTACTCAATAAGGCGAGCATCCCAGTGGCGAAGTCATCCGTCGGCTTTGTTAAAATACATCAAATTGAAACGAAACCGATAATGAAGTTCTCAACAGATGTGCCCCTGTCTTGGTTACGACGAACGGTCCGAAGTTGTGGGATATTCTAAATTAGGGCATTAATGTGTGAGGGGACGTTTCACGTTGTAACGCTTTTCAGATCATAAGCAAGTATCCATATCCACTCTGCCACTATAACAGGCTCATTCAAACAATCGCGGACTAGGCATGCTATCTCCACCACAGTGGTTTCGCAAACCAGGTGATAGTTACTGCCTAGAGTTTGTGAAAAGTCCAAACACAATGTGAACGAAGTTATCGAGATTAGTCAACTTATGACGCAAGTGGTCCATTGCACAACAAACAATCGCTATGATCGCATAATCTCTCCCAACGATGACAGCAGTGGTGAGATATTCGTAAGTAGAGCAATGGTCAGTTGCCCTGAAAACATGTCTTAACACAGACGAACCAAGTGCAATTGAACGAGAACTGGCGAGTAATTTGAACACACACGCCGGGCGTGGGCCTAGTGGCGTTGACTCGGCAAGTGGGGATGATGACAGATTATCCGCACCGTGTGCCTCACATGACTTGACAGCCGCCAACATCGCGTCCCCACTACGTGTCCGTGATATTGCTAGGTGGACACATGCACGCTAAAGTGGTTACGTTTATCCGCCAAACTACGCCATCGTATGCCAGCATGACATGCGTGAAACGCAGTCTGGGGCATAAAATAATGCACGCCAAACTACATGCGCAGTTTCGTAACTCAGTGTCCCACTAGTCTGCAGTGAACGGTGGAAAATTAGTGTTCTTTGCCGTGTTGATGTTGAGTTGGAGCTGTAGCAGCGACACGCATTAGCAATGGCGGTTAATTGCTTTAATCGACCACTTGAGGATGTGGTTGGGCAATTCTGCACAGGGAATGGGAAGGCGTCCAAGCAGTCAGTATCCTCATTTCATTCACCACAATGGCACGCTCAGTGGTTAAATGCTGTCTAGGAAGAATAAAAATTTATAGGTTGAATTTCATCACAGCTAGACTCCTTTAGACCACCATCACACGACCGACAAGAAGCTGTACGGCTGTGACAAGCCGTGACACGGCCGGGAAACTTCTGAAGCCCTGTGTATTCGCGTCAGATGTAGCCAAAGAATTTGCTCCTGGTTCTTTGGCAGCGGCAACGGACGAGTACGTAGACGTGCCTTTAGCGTAGCGGGTATGTTACCGTGTGCCTGTACAGGTTGCGCCACAGATTCACTTTCGCGCAATATCTCCTGGATTAGGATGGGAGCTGCTGGAGGGAGTGGAACTTGATTGACTGTCTGATATCAAATTGAGGTTGTCCGTTTACCTGGCTTCGTGGTATAACTCTATTTTGGTCATCATGTTTAGAAGCGGGTCCAAGCCAAACTGTGATTGGATCCGAAAACGAACATTTTTCAAGTACTAATTCCTCGAGTATCACCGCTATGTTATCGCATTTCTGCACCTAACAAATGTGTGAGCCATTCAGTGAGTGCAGAACAAAAATTGGTTTGCTTTATTGTACAGATATTTTCACTTACGTTCCAGCCAAACGAGCGCACTTGACGTGACGGTGTTTGTTACACTCGAACAGCAAATTACCAATACAAACCGGTTTTTACAACCGCGAATGTCGTTCACTTGCGGCTGGCTGTGATTAGTTGTACGTTTGACTTGGTTTTGGGCCACGTTCGTTATACATTTTTCATTGAGCTTAGGCCCAAACAGCGGGCGAAGCAGCTGTCTATACGCAAGCGCACTGGGTCACGCAACTATACCATTCCCCGGCCAAGTTGTCCTCTTGGGCAACAGAAATAATCTGGGAGAGCATTCAACATGAGTCTACTCAATTAATTTTTTCCGTGCGTACCCCACTCACTTGTGCAGGTGTGTAGGTGTGCGTGTATAGCC